ATGCCAGAGGTCAGAGGAGAATGGCCAGACTGGTTCAAGCTGATAGAAAGGCAACAGTATCTCAAATAACCACTCGTTACATCCGAGGTATGCAGAATACCAACTCTAAACACACAACACATTGAACCTTGAAGCAGATGGGCACAGCCACAGAAGTCCACACTGAGTGCCACTTCTGCCAGCTAAGAACAGGAAACTGAGGCTACAGTTTGCAAGGGCTCACCACAATTATAAAATAGAAGATTGGAAAAACATTCCCTGGTCTGATGAGTCTCGATTTCTGTAGTGACATTCGGATGGTTTGGTCTGTAGCGACATTCGGATGGTCGGGTCTGAATTTGATGTAATCAACATGAAAGCATGGATACATCCTGCCTTGTATTAACGGTTCAGAGTGATGGAGCTTCGCATCATGGATGTGCACCCGACAAATCTGCAGCAACTGTGTGATGCTATCATGTCAGTATGGCCCAAACTTAATGTTTCCATCACTTTGTTGAATCAATGTCACGAAAAATTAAAGCAGTTCTGAAGACAAGAGGGGTCCAACCCGGTACTATATAATAAAGTGGCCAGTGAGTGTATTTACATACTGTGAGGCCCTGGCTGGGAGGAGCAGGTCACCTATGTTTGTTGCCTACAGATGGTGCGGAGCTCCAGGATTTGTGTCTGCTATGGGGGAAACAAACTTTGTTGTTTTCTCAGATCTTAGTTTCTGGTTTGGGTCCTGGAACCTTTGGGTTTGGATCCTGGCTTTGTAGGGCTTTGGCTGGCATAAATCATCCAGTCGAAGGTCCACATTTTATGTTAAGCAGACCTCAATTATGACTTCTGCTCGGGTCTCTATCTCTCTCCCTCATTCTCTCTGCTGTGAGTCTGCTGCTGGGTAAAAAGGCTGACTGCTGACAGAACGCAAAAACAATGTGCATGTGCTGCCTGTTTGTTTTGGGGAACCCATTAGGGGACATCCTGTTAGTCAGGAACTGACATAAGATCAATTAGTTGCTTGGACACGCAGAGTATTGTTTGTTGTGAAAGACAAACTTGCTTGGATTTTTCCTGGGTGTCTGAGTCTCCTGCATTATCTATCGCTGCCACTACTAGCTGAGCCTGTCCCCCTTATAATATGTATTTATTACATAATTATAACTGGTTAACTCTGATTACCATGCATACAATTATTTCTTCTGCCTACATGTTATAGAGACACACATACTTTAGGACGCACTCCAGGAGCATTTTTTTTATTAACCCTTGCAGTGAGGGTACCCCCACACTGCAAGGAATAACTGCACGTTTTTGTCACCTGATGTTCTCAGCTGGCTTGTTCTTAGACTGGTCCATAGAGCCTCTCCCCCTTATCTGCAGTGGTCTAAGGTCTTGTAAATTATTAGGTCTATACACAGCATATAGGATGTGAGGACGTTGGGGAAAATTCCAATGCTGCAGCACAAGAGGAGACAGGCAGGAGGGAGCGCTGTGACAGCTCGGAGCTTCAGGTGAGCATAACTTTGTTATTTCTTAACCTAGGCAAAAACAAGCACTTAATCCTTTCAGTGCTTTACATTAGGGATGCATCGATATATCGGGCGAAAATGGCACTTTTGGCATAATGCCGAAAGTGCAATTTTCCTGCCGATACATCGGCGCATCCCTGATTTCCTTCCTCCCCGCTGGGCGCTGCTCTATGTCCCAGCGGGGAAAAGAGAAAGTGACAGCTGGGCGAGCGCTGCGGTGGACAGCGCTGTGAGCGGCCGGCGTCTCCTCCCACACCGCTCTGCCGCCTATCACAGTCCGGCAGAGCGGTGTGTGGGCGGAGACAGCGCTGTCACAGGAGGCTGGGCTTTCCTCTCTACACCGCTCGATCAGCCTCCTGTGACAGCGTGTCACAGAGAAGAGCAAGGTACAAACACTCAGTTTGTACATAATTGGAGGATATGGTATGTGTACTATATCCTCAATTATGAATGAATGGAAGTGATTTACATCACCCCATTTATTCATAATTGTAGTTATAGTAAACAAATAATGTTCTCATGTTATCAATGAACAGGAACACTCAGAGGATTCCTGTTCATTGATAACAGGGGACACAGAAAAAGATTGAGGACTTTGTGTTCTCAATCTCTTTTTCTAAAGGTTTCGTTTCGATTTTAAAATTCCCATTTCGGTGCACCTCTACTTTACATTGACCTATGCATTTCATACAACATTTAGGCTGTGTGCAGGCATTTAGATGCATCCTTTCTCCAGGTGGGCCACTAACTTGCGATGGCATTATGAGTGGCATTGGAGAGTGGGGTGAACACATGCAATGGATGTTCTGCTTGTTCATCCAACAGCCATGAAGTCTAAGGTTAAAAGTGACGAAAATACAGCTGGCAAGTTCTTCAGCCGCAAACCCCTTATGCTCAAACACAGAATCATCTATACAAGCATGCTAACTCTAAGTAAAATACCTTTCCCAGACAGGACTGCTGCCTAGTGCAAGGATAAAAATGCAGTAGCCACAGCAACGCATTCAAATCCATCTTGTGATGGACCAACTTTAACAAAGTGAATTCTGGTTTCTGGCTTTGGTTACTTCAGTTTTCTCCTTGAACTGTTTGTGGTAAGGTGGATTGTCTTATGAGGTGATATGAATCTACTGCCTATAGCCAACTTTTTATGTTAATTGGATAATAAACAATGAATAATATCTCAAGAGTACCTACACCAAGTATCACTCTTGTACTTAAAGCCAAATTCAACTTCCATTTAAAACCGGCTATATACATTCCAGGAGCATCAAAACAAAAGGCGTACAAAGTCTTACAGTTTGTTTCCTTTAAAAATCAGCCTAGCCTGAGTAAAAAAAAAAAAAACACTGCATCCAGGCAGTATGATTCAGAGTATGGATTGATTTCAATGCTGGTGTGCTGCTCCTGGTGTGTGCCGACCGGGGTGTCCGACGTTTGTACTAAAGGAGAAACAAAAAGGAGGAAGAATCGCTTCTTCCTCCTTTTTGTTTCCCCTTTATGCTTCAGAGTGGGATCCTTGCTTTCTGTGGGAAAGCAATGATCTCTTTGCAGAGGTCCAGCATGCTCCATACCAAGTCAGAGCTTTCCAATCAGAGGGGACAGAGCTTTTCTGATTGCAAAGCTATAGTTTTGGCTCAGTAGGGGGCATGTCAGACTTCTGCAATGAGACCACTGCTTCCATACAAAGAGCAAGTGTCCCAACTCTGCAGCTGCTGGCTGGGGACAGGCTGGCTGGGGTGACTCTTGCACCTGGAATGTATTTAGCCAATTCAAACTGAAGGCTTTCACTGAAAACAAGATTGCCATGTCTTGTACCTTGTAAGCACACGGAAGGCTTCAAGCACGATTGTTCTATACATAAGATAACAGGTATATGGAGGGGAAAATCAATATCTCAAAATCCTGTCAAAAGCGATAAACTGTTAACAGTTAATTAGAAGAGTAGATTCATATGATCCTATCAATCCCCAGAGGGCCTAGCTTTTGGCACTGCCGTTTTCAGGCTTTGAACATGCTTTCCTCCTACCCAGAGATATTACTCATGGACATGCGGAACCTATTTTATCACCAAAAACTCACCCAAGAACCACAGTGCTGGGAAATGTTACTCTATCTCACCTTCAGTAATAATATCACGATAAACATAATGTGCAAGTTCCGGACAGCCTCCTATAGAGTTTCTGTTGCATACAGTCCAGATATGTTTCTTTAAACCCCACTTCCAACCTTGAGTTTACACCAGCAAGTGTTCGCCCCACTGAGGAGACTTCAGCAAGAGAGAACTACCCCCCAAGGAAGGTAAGACTGTAGTTAACCTGCTGCACCAGTGCTACCCTCATTGGCAGTAAAACACTGAAGAGGGGTAATAGGGCAGGACTTTTAAAACCCTTTATTTCTTGTTTATTCAGGTTGATGGCATCTTCTCTTTGAGGTTAAGGGTGTCATCAAGATGGACTAGAAAAACTACAAGCTCATGATTAAGCTTTAGCTTTGTAAACAGAGGCCATTCAGTGCAACTCATAAAATGCTAAGAACAAGCCAAAAAAGTTCAGAAAAAAAAAATCCTCGTCTTACCCAATATCTTAAATGAATTGAACAAACTGAACAATGTCACATGACCTTAACACATGATGATCACAACTGACTTGTAACTGTTGAAATCCATCTTCACTGCATAAAAGTGACCATTGCTTTGGTTCAATCCATCCATGGATCCAGTTTATCCACAGTTTAGTTGAAACACAGAAAGTAAATGCTCAAAAAAAATGTAATAACCAGAAAGAAAAAAAATGTTATAAACTAGAAGCCAAGGTGTTGCGTTGTGAGCACAAAATATATGGTGCTCTCAAGACTCATTTGCTCCAGTGTGAGTTGGTGATGTTGGACTATGCTGTAGCAAGTCAAATTGCTGAGCTCTGTTACTGTGGCTTGGAATGTAATGAGCTGAGATAATTATCGAGCAGCTTAGCAATGCATGAATCGTCTGCCTCAATATTCGCTTCAATGAACTCAATCTCCAGATCGAGGGCAAGCTTCTAGTGGGAAAAGAACATGATTGAAACATATAATTCAACATTTTAATTGAGCTGCTGCTTCCCAAAATCTACTGACAGAATGACTGCACCTGCAAAGTAGACTTTTTTTCCTTCTTTTTAAGCACAAGGTAAGGAAAATAAAACTGAAGTGTATAACATTACATTATAATAACAGATATAATAATATACATATTTATAAAACATATTAAAAGAATAGCTTGTAAACTATCTTTTTCACATTTTAATTAACATACTAGAAATACATCAGCATACCTTCTCCTGAAGGAGGCTTTCAAAAGAAGGAAGTTTCAAACAAACTTTTACTTTTGTAGAAGACATTCTTCAGTGTGAAAAAAAAAAACTATACGTCTTTTTTAAGTGAAGGTAGCCTAATATGCAACAACAGAAAATTCAGACCACACACGCACATTGTCATTCAACTGACCTAATTTTAGAAGCCAGCCCTCTCTGTCAGGGTTGAAGAACGTGTGTGTCAGGTCGTTCCCATCGTCTTCTGGGATTTTGAAGGGTTCATTCTTAATACTATCATATAAATTCTGTAGAGAAAAAAACAAAAATAAGTATTTTTTCAAAATGTTCAGGTGCATGTTTAAACATAACAGCAGTGATTTTCAATTACTACAGCCTAACAAAATGGAGATGTTGCCAATAAAAACTAGACCAAAATGAAGGTCAACGCTAAAGCTGGCCATACTATACAATCTGATTTTACAATTTTTGCAAAATCACCTTTTATATTTACTAAAACTGTAATAAGTAATATGAGCACTATGGTGGTAGATGGTAGACCTACAGGAATGGTGCAAGTAAATTGTATAGTACGCTTAACACTTGCCCCACACACAATTACATTTTCTAGCAATTCCCCAAAACAATTTCAAGAAGCATCAATGGATGGATCGAGGCAACCCACCATCATCTATGTCATATACTTATTATATAAATAGTTACACACACTAAATTAATATATATATTATACACACACACACGGTAGGTGCCGAAGAACTGTAGTTTCTGGTTGCTTGAGTTAATCGTAAACACATTTGGCTGCCGACCATGGAATCTAGCCGCTGGCAGGCAGCAAAATGTAAACAAAGAATTTCATTATCAACTAAATAAGTTTAGATAAATAATAATAATAAAATGTGCACCAAGCAACCAACTATTTTTTAATGTGCATCAAGCCACTGGCAAAAAAATATGTTTTCGATTTTCTTTTTCCCCAGTTTCCTTGGATGCCAGGTGATGGGGAGTTTTGATATATATATATATATATACATACACACACACACACACACACACACACTGTATATAGTAGTAGCTTGTACTTATCCATTCAATAGTTTTTTAGATCGATTGCTGGGTGATGGTGGTTGAAATTATTAGAAAACTACCAGCTGGCCATACGGCCAGAAATTATCTAGTGATTTCAATTTTCAACCAGCTATCAATCATGAATATGACTTAGCCAATCAAAACAACCAACCACCAATAGTGTCAATTGAAAATGTGAAACGTTTAAACTATTGATGTTGAGTTGCCTTGATCTGTTTGGCAGACTTTTTTTTTTTTTAAACTGGTTGAAGGCAGAGCATATTGCAAAAAAATTACCAGAGTGTATGGTTAGCAGACATGAACCTGTAAGAATATAAAAAATAAATAAAAAATGGGAGCTTCCGTTGCCAGCTTGGTTTTAGGATGCATTCTGTAGACTTTCATCCCTGTCCTGGCTTCACTATCTAGTTACTCAATCACCCGGAACAATCATGGAGCCAATGAAAAGTATAAAATATTGTGGTGTCTGTATACCACATCAAGGTTCCCAATGAAGGAAGGCTTGGACCACATGAGCTAGCAGCCAGAGAAATTACAGCTAATGATGGAAGTGATGTAACAGACTTCCACCTTTAGGGAGAGAAGGAGGAGAGATCAGCGCTGGGGAAAATGCTGATCTCTCCGCCTTCTCTCTAATAGTAGCCGTTGTGCCGGTGTTCTCGGTCCCCGGCACCGAAAGGGGTGACAGCGGTGCCCCCGATAACCAGCAGCGCCAACAGATGGAGGGGGGGCGCCACAATATAGGGTCAAACAAGTGATTGGCCAGCTGTAGAGCCAGCCGAACGCTTGTATGTAACAGCTGGTAATGCCCGTTTACCTTCCTGGCGGAACCCGGCTTGTGCGCGGCCACTAGGGAGTGTGCGCGAACAGAAAAAGTATTTGCATAAATGTACGTCCACCCGCAAGGAAGCATCCGCCATCCGCCCGTATTTTTACAATGGGTGGACGGCAAGGGGTTAAAGCAACCCACAACATCCAGACTTAATTTATTGGTGACACGGCCAAACAATGTTAAAAATTTGCCCGAGTAGACACTAGCAGCATTACCTGTGTCTCCCAGTTGCTGATCTTTTCCCCATTACTGGCTTACTATGCCTTGTTCTGCACCGTTTCGCTGTGTGAAGGTGGCCATCTTGGTAAAGCCAAGGCTTTGCTTCCTCGTGTCAGAGCCTCCAGCAAGGAGAAAGGTTAGCAGCATAGTAGTGACATCACCAAATCTCACTCCAAATTTCCCAATACTAGCAGTTAGATGCAGCAGAGCCTTAGCTCTCTCATTGCAGATATAACTGCTATTAGGCTGCAAATACAGGAGTGCCTAGGCATCCTCACATACCAGAAGATGCTCTGCCATTATCCAGGAGCAATTCCAGACAAAATACTTTTTTTTAGGATACTGGGGTTAGATCTAAAACTTCAAAACAACATAGCAAATCTTCACTTGAGTTCAGTTCCACTCTACATACTAATGTGCAGGGTGAAAATGACTCCGTGACACACTGCATGTAATAACTAACATATGCACCAATATATGTTTATATTAAAATTTAAAAAAACCTCACCCTTAATAAATCTTCTGGAAGATCTCCACCTTCATTAATCCCACGATTCATAGATATAAAGCGTTCTACTGGAGGTTTGTCCCTTACATTGGGATTGTGTAAACTGGTGTTCAACATGATGATGGCAAAAGACAGGACGTAGCATGTATCTGATACAAGACAAAGAACAGCATTTATAAATCAGTACTCAGCACACATTAAAAAAAAAGAAATAGAAAACAACATCTACCAGCAAACATCTGGTAATTAAACCATAAGGAGGTGTGCGAGTATGTTAACATGAGACAGAACATAACCAACTTGTAACTCCTGAAATATTTTTTGTTTAATCAGATTTTATTTATGCATTATAACGACTGTACAAAATATAAGGAGTAAAGACAGATGAAAAACCACAGTCACGCAGGACCAGCACCTGAAATATTTTTAGTGTCATACAATCAACAGTAACTGAATAGCGATTGTTGAATAAGAGAAGAAACCCCTAAAATTAACCAAAGGGAAAGCAGTGGAGATAAAAACCCAACTGTGAATAGTAATTAAATACCTTCTTGGCTTCTTATGTATATTTGGAACCCTAGCAGCAAGATTTCTGCATGTACGTTCACCTGCTATCACCACTACAGTGTCAGCTCTGGATACCACATTAATTTTGCACGGCACAAAAATGCAGCAAGGGGAATAAAGACTCAAAAGGTTTGGCTTTGTGTTGCTCAGATTAGTAAGCAATTCTAGAAACTCAAACAGACGGATTAGAGCGGTAGAAACAGCCAGCAGGTAACAACAATGTCACCCACCAAAATTAAAATATTACGTACAAGTGTAATTGTCTTTTTAACAATTCCATCCAGAGATTTAAAAAAAATATAATAATCCTGCCTGCAGTACAATACCTTATAGTTGAAATCTAGTTTAAAACAAGATTTTTTGAAAGAAGATATTCAGATCTAGCCTAAATCTAGGTTATTTGAAGGAAAAAAAAAATACTTGGAAGCAAGTTGCCTTGCATTGAAAGACACAGCAAAAACCAAGAACTCACAGCAATAGCGGTTGATGGCTTCCTTCTGTAGATCCTAAACTGGTTTTTGGTAGTATTTAAAAGGGACTGGACAAGGAAGAACACTCAACAAAATATAAATCAGCAAAACCAGCTAGGAAAACAAAAACTGGAACACAGAACAGGAACCCAGATGCAGGCATAAGGGCACAGTCAGTCTGGGAAAATACCTATCATAAAGGGTTTTTGTGTTATGATAAACCGCCATTAGTTGAGTTTTCAGTCATGCATGCTTTCCAAAACAGATACACATATAGGGGGGAGTATAGCAAAACTGGAGCAGACAAAATCTGGAAAAGTTGCCCATGGCAACTAATCAGCTTCTCTCTTCAGTTTGTTCAGTTAAGCTTTGAAAATGAAAGGTGGATGCGGATTGGCTATTACGCACAGCTGCTCCAGATTTTGTCTGCCCCAGTTTTTAAAAATTCCCCCCACTATGTATAGGAACTTACAGCGACACTAAACTGAGGAGTTAAATCTTAAAAATGCTTTCAAGTACCTTAACTTTTAACAGAAATGTAACTTATTTATATATCACTCAGCTGTAGATCCTCAAATCATCTCTGAATTGGTGCTGACACTGTCCTTCCTTCTGGAGGGTGGCTACTTTTGCTCCCCAAAAGTATGTGTGTTGTATAGTAGCCACCAACCCAAGCTCACTCCCGTGATGGACAACAATCTCAATACAAATTAGTAAACAAGCTCCCAAGCCTAGTGGTCAAGTTCAATCATCTGAAGAACACTTTCATGTCTGCTACACTCATAAGTAGCACATTCCATATTAAGAAACATCTGTTTGCTTTCATAGGTGTGGGAATAGCTTAATAAGACAGGTTCTGGGAAAAAGCTAAATGATTGTCAGAAAAAATATCAAACAGGACTGAGAGCCACTGGATTGGATCCATTGTCAGGATCCGCTGTCATTCACTAACATGCACTGGTGTGCTACAATGTCATTCATTTTGAATGAAACCCCAACCGATTAAGGCAATGCAACCGAGCTGCAATGCACTACCATGTGCTACATTCACAAAAAAGGGTTTTGGCTGCACTGGGGTTTGTTGGCAGCCGATTTAAAATTACATAAGGTACGTTAACACACAGGACAAGTGTCAACCCGGCAAATGCTTTCGGCACATTTTATTTATGGCGGTTTCTTAAATATATAAAATCTATAACAAATAAATATGCATTAACATACATCACAAAAGATTACCAGAGCACTGTGGGGGGAATTTATCAAAACTGGAGCAGACAGATGCTGGCAACCAAACAGCATCTCTCTTCAGCTTGTTCAGGTAAGATCTGAAAATGAGACAGAGAAGCTGAATGGTTGAAGGGCAAATCTGCTCCAGATGGTCTGATTCAGTTTTAATAAATCCCCCCGTGTGTTTTCTAGAGAAAAAAAACAGCAGTAGTTTCCTTCCTGGTTGGAGCTGGAGGGAGGGGGAGGGAGGGGGAGTAAGGGGGATTATTCACTGCTCCAAAGAATTCACTTGTGTGCAGATATCAGCTTGAGCTTTTCAATAAGGTTTTTACAACAGAAGGTAAGAAGAGACTAGAAATCAGGAGTCTTTTTTGTTAGGGTTTAGAATTGAGCATGATAGAACGTAAGAATTAAAAAAAAAAAACACATAACACATGAGAACACTTTATATTATGCCTATACTAACCCGTAGACTGAAACACTCCAGGATTACACAGACAGTAACGTGCTGCAAAAGCTTCCATCATTCGATCTATCTTCTGGGCCTCACCAGGCAGCCGGAAACTCCACAAAAACTGTCTGCAATAACCAATATCAGCACAATGAAAATATGTTAGAAAAAAACAAAACATAACAATGTTCTAATAAATTCTGCATTTAAGTTATTCACTACCTGAACAGGTATTTGTATTATGGCACACATGTGTAAAGTATGGCTTCATTTTAAAGAGACCCTGTCACCTGACCATTCATTATAACATATAATTGCTGTAAGATTATATGTTCATTTAACATATTTTATTATTATTATTTTAAAAAACTTTCCCTGATTCCCTAAGACGTCTGCAGGGCACTGCTCCCTTGGAGGTCATAGCAGCAGCCCCAGAAGACTCAAAGCTGTCACTCAACACGCTATAGTAATCCCCCTTCGTTCCTACCCCAGAAACTACACTCATAGAAAAGTAAGGGTTATGACGTGCAAGCTGGGGTGTTCTAGCAAGTGGAAAGGCAAGTGAATAAAAATGACCTAAAAAGGTAAAATAAATTGCAAGTAAGCATTTAAAAATGCTTTTTTGTCTGTTTTTGCATGCAGTATTTTGGTTGGCGACAGGGTCTTTAAAAAAGCTTGCTTTATATAATGTTTGGCTTAAGGTCAGGTTCTGAGGAAGGGGGTGTGCCCCAGAAACATGTAAACCGAGACCACACAGGGGCAGTGGACGCTGATGCTGCACGTCTTTTCAGACTTCCGCTGCTAGATGATTTGGCATCCCATTGTTTTCTACATGCCTTTTTACTACCGACTTTTTGTAAGTACAATACAGTTGTGCGTTTTTCATCATTAAAATTAGTTTTACACTATGGAGGCGCTCCTTTTTGATTTTTGTCTCTCAATGTTTGGCTTAGACTGAGGTTTGAGCCGTTTAACTCGTATGCCAAATAGTGGCCAACAGCAGCTACAGAATGAGGCTCCATTCACACAGGAGCAGTTGTCGGCGCATATTCGGCCGGGCGGAGCCGCTCTAAACAGAAAAAATAATGCCATTTAACGTGCATTGTTCAGACATTAGTGGCGGACACGCGGTTTCGCACGCAAAATAGTTCAAGCGCAATTTTTTGGCCAGATTCCGCACGTTCACGGCTATAAAATAGACGCAGTAAAATCCGTGTGGATGAAAGATTTTAGGGTTTGCATTGCCGCACAGTCTTACGCACGGAAAACTGAATGGCAAACGCTATATGCGAATGGAGCCTGAAACTGCCGCTTGTCAGGGGTAGTGCTTGACACCAGGAGGGGAAAGCAGTCAAGGATCCACACAGATCCTAGCCCTGGAATCCAGGAGATTTTTTTAATGACACACACACAATAATTTGGAAACAGACACAGGTAACGCAAAGCTTTAGGAGTACCATTAGCTTTATCAGTTTTTAGGGTCTAATGTCAAAGTATCAAAATGTCAGTAGTAGGCAAAAGCAACTTTCACTCCTGTGGGAAATAGAACTGCCTGGTTGGAAACTGAAGATACAGTGGGTGACTGTTCCTATCAGTGAACTGATTATAAAAAAAAGCTGAGCTTACATCTCAACAAAAAAATCCATGACTCTATGACATTTTATTAGTGTCACCATAAGGCATAGGACGTGTCATTGAATGGAGAAGCTATTATAGATTTTCAGATATAGCCAATGCATCTTGGAGAAAAATACAATCAACGTATACATATATACACACAAATATAAATTTTTAATTTATTTATTTATTTTACACATGCATATGGTCATAGCCCTAGGTTTTCAAAACGAATTGATCTGATCAATAAATGCTTATTTATTCCGCAACAAGCCTTCCTTCTTGTGATTGTATCACTGGCAGAGACATAGCTGCTTTTTTTCCTAAAGAGTGGCTCAACTTTTTTTATCCTCACACGGGTTTTCTTTAAGAACGACAAAAACCTTCAATTTGCATAACATGTAATGAACAAATGTTTGCCCAATGAACACCTCTAAAATTATTCTTAAGAAATGTTGCATGTAAAGGTCTGTAATACAGTACTTCCTTATGGTAAGCACCCAAAATTCCCTGCATAACAGCTGACATTTCAAAACAGGTCAACAATGGGTGGTCTATACCCATTGTTGACCTATACTGGCTGGCCAAAGCCAAAGAGGGAGTTATTCATGTTCTGGGGGCAGAGTTGGGGCTCTAGAGAAATAACTAGCCTCAGAGAATGGAAGCCATTGAATGAAGGTCTAAGCAGCTATACAGCATTGAGGGCATTGGTAGAAGGAAAGAGGACTGCACATAAAGAACATATTTTTAATGTAGGTAACTGCAAGTATAAACATTTGAAAACACATATTTCCTTTTTGTTTTAGTGCTTAATTAGGGTTTCTCCTGCTTAGCACTGCAAAAGCACTGTGACTACAGGAGTAACCAAGTACACCAAAGGTCTTTATGGTAAAGTATGGGTGTGTGCACTGAGCCTTTTTCAAAGCGTTTCAGATTTATCTGGCAAATAGTAAAGTTTAATTACAGCAGATCACTGGGTCATACCCAAAATCCGCAGGTTCTACCTGACACACCGCTCTAAATTCTGGTCATATACACCGATCAGCTATAATATTAGAACCACTCGCCTAAAATTGAGTAGGCCACCCTTTCGTCGCCAAAACAGTCCTGACTTGTCGAGGCATGGTCTCCACTAGACCTCTGAAGATATGCTGTGGTATCTGGCAACAAGCAGTCATTAGCAGATTCTTTAAGTTCGGAAAGTTGTGAGTTGCCAGACTTCACTCCCCACGTGCATCTATGAGCTTTGGCCGCCCATGATCCAGTTCATCGTTTTTCCTTCCTCGGACCACTTTTAGTAGGTCCTGACCACTGCAGACCGGGAACATCCCACAAATGCTGAAGTTTTGGAGTTGCTTTGACCCCGTCTTCCAACACATCAACTTCAAGGAAAAAATGTTCACTTGCTGCCTAATATATCCCACCCACTTCCAGGTGCCATTGTAATGAGATAATCAATGTTTTTCACTTCACCTCTCAGTGGTCATACTGTTATGGCTGATTGGTTAAAGCATGTTGTGACAACCAAATTTAACATTGCTTTAAAGAGTTTTGAATGAGGGGACATTCTGACTGGCTTCACCACATAGTTCTTATTTGAACACGTTTATACATGATATCCAGTATTTTTAGAATGCCAGGACATTCATCACATCAAAACTGTAGCACAAAACAAAACAATTTTCTGGCTGGCGTACGGAGGGATCAATAGCACATTCAGCTGCATGTTTACAGTTCGGATAAATACATTTTCTAATATCCCAAAAAAAGGATACTAAAATTTCAAAGCAAGCATTTAACCATATTCACAAAAATCTAGCAATGAAGAGATGGAAAACATATTCACAGAATTATGCAGACCACCTAGAATTGGCAAACACTTATGGGTGCCCCATAAAATTAAAGTCTGAAACAAAGAAACATTCATTTTTTTATGGGGTTTTAAGAAAGACTGTTGGCATGAAACTGTGCCAAACATCTTTCTGCCAATCCAGTATCCACATTCCCTACAAAGACCCCACTATTCACAAGAAAACACTGAGCCACAGACATTGAGCTGTATGGATCCTTTAATTCTGTGACCAGCAAAACCACCGGGATTTCCATATTATGCATACAATACGATACTGACCTTAGTGCTTGTACAAGATTCAGGTCTGCAAACTCATGGAGTTCAACGAATGCTTGAAGAACAAGGATATTAAAGTCATCCCTATCAAAAAAAAAAAAAATACACATGAACAACAGTATAACAGTACAGTAATAGTGATCTAATTATACAGTGGGGTATTATCACAAAATATTGATCTGCAAACTTTTTACTGTGAATAACTATGGATGTTGGAGCAAGACTGGCTCAGCCGGTGTGCACCTGCCGTTCTCTCTAGTGCTGGTGTGAAGGTGCGATGATACTGAACTATGCCAGTAAGGATCTGCCATGACACAGTCTATCACATTTAGAATTGAGAAGTAGAATTCATGAATGACTAAGGCTGGTCATTCCGCACATGCGCCACTGCCACATGAATGACTCATTCAGGGCCAACAAGTAAACCTCAATAATGTGTAATCCGTAGGATGGGCTCCCCTGTCTATACATTGTGGATATTGAGATTTCGGCCCTGAGCAAGTCTTCTGGGAGTTCCCTCGGAGATCCGGTGACGCAACGGACATAAACGTCACCGGACTCCTCCCCCCTTCCCCAAGTGGCTCCGTCGGCTAACATAGGGAAGGGGGGAGGAGTCTGGTGACGTCGATGTCCGTGACGGCTAATGAAGGGAAGGGGGGAGGAGTCCGGTGACGTCGATGTCCGTGACGGCTAACGAAGAGAAGGGGGAGGAGTCCGATGACGTCGATGTCTGTGAAGTCACCAGACTCCTCCCCCTTCCCTTCATTACTGGGCCGGACTCCCTATGACCAGCTACACACATGATCCTTAAGCCCCGTTCACATTGAGCGATTTATCGCGCGGTAATTCCCGCGATATCGCGATCCAATGCATTTCAATGGGGCAAAGGGTCCTGCTGTCGTGGGTCGTGTGTCGCTACAGCAGGACCCTTTTTGGACCGGATTTAGCCACGATTCAAGCTTGCTCAATGCACGCTTGAACGCGATATCGCGCGGCAAATGTCGCGATGTCGCGCAATATGCAAATCTCGCGATGTTGCGCGATTTGCATATCGCGCAGTGGGAACGTGGCCTTAGAGGGGAAGGAGGCAGATCACTTTTACCTGCTATCTGCGACACAAAGGCATCGGTAACCAGAGACATGACGGTCTGGAATTCCTCCGTTCCACATGCAAGGTTAAGGTCACAAAAACAGGAAGTCTATGTACGGGTGACAGACCGAACGGGGACTACTTCCGTTAGTATCCATGGTAACGGGAACGCGAACAGAGAAGCTTGTGCCTCATGTCACGTCATATCATGTTGAGAGGAAAACAAAAGCATTTGGAATCTTGGAGGAACAGCTCTTTCCAACTCCGAGGTTTGAGAGTCACGTGATGGGGAACGTGTACGCAGGGAGAGCGAAGCCGCCATGTTTGTGGCAAAAAGATGTTTCAAATATAACTGTAGAATGTGGCAAATGTGAAAACAATTACCTGGAACAATAGAATGATGAAATGTGGTATTACAGTACAAGTTACAGTGGCTGTTCCTGATAGTTTTAAAACATTCCATTTGTTTATGTTGCCGATGAGGGAGTGGTAACCTTTGGGGGGTGGAAGGGGCTAGTTTGCAACAGACGCATGAGGGGTGGGAAACAAAGCCTGACACAATGAAAAATGCACCAAGTTTTTTTTAATTTCTTTGTGTGGCCCTGTCCCCATTACCATTGTTGCTTAGACAAGACTTCTGTATGTGCGTTATAATTAATCAAAATTAATCGATTAAAAATGTTTTTGATTAACACAAAAATTGTAATCATTAACAGCCCTAATATATATATACACACACACACACACACACACACACACACACCAAGATGATTGCCATAGCTTCATGTTAGCATTGGGTACAGGTAAGCCAGAACAATATTCACTTATTCTGCAAGAATCTAAATTTTTGGAAGTTTAACCAAGACGTTCTGCATTTAATTTCCTGCATTATGCTGATTTTCCACATTAAACAAGCTTGTTGAATCCTCCATAACAGAAATATTAGGTTTCATACACCACTTACTACTTACACACAGGCACTGGAGTTCAGTGGCAGCTGACTTGTGCAGTGTCAGTGTGTACTAAACTAAAACAGTTTAACACATGTCCACATTCCTGAGCCATTGTGTGGGTATAAATCAAGATTACACAACCGGGGCATTCAGGGACTGGCGAGTGACAGATGCCTGCCAAGGACAAGATTTATTGGCACTGCTAAGCCTGGGCAGTGAAGAAACTACCAGGTGTATTTATGACCATAAAAAAAGACTGGGATATTATGACTAGATCATGAAACCTGTAAAAGCCACATTACTGTCAACGAAAAGACAACCTATTAATTCCAAAAAGGTTTGTAAGGAAAAAGAAAAAAACATTTGTAAAATCAACGCAATATGAAACATTCGGCCAGAGAAAACATGAAAATGAATTTGAAAATTAAAGACCATTTCTAATCCAAAACTATTTCCTTCTGATTTGAATATTATATGGCTAGAGAGAGAATTATTAGCTTTTCCATGAGGAAATGGAAACTTATAAACTTTTTTTTCTCTGTATCACAAATTTTCCAACATATTGGTAGATCTCTGCAACAAAGTTCAAAGCTTGTGCATGCTTATGGTTGCTTTACACACAGACAGACAATAAAAAGGTGATGGTGTTTCTAGCCTTTTCATACTCCACTGTAAAAAAGCATTTTATTTCTGTCTGTTGCCGCTGAATTCTGACCTCTGCTGGAGATGTCATACTGCTGTTGATACAATGACTCAAATATGGTGGGGATGTCCTTTGATCAAACCAATCTGGCAAATGGTCTTGCACGTCTACTCCTAAGTGGATGACACAGATATGGCCCTAACTGCACAAATTGCTTTGTTATCTATTCTTCCGGGTTCCATTTCCACAGTAAAGAAATCCCTGCTTTGTTTTGGTTTTTTTTAATAATGCTGCGAGAACTTTGATTCCTAGATGTTGGAATTCGACACAACAGTTCCCTCAACTCATTACGGGTCTGTGGAGATGTGTACGTCGATGAGGTCGGAGGAGCTATTGGCTCAACGCTCTGATCGTTATGAAGCCTTTTTGGCACGTTGGAGGCCATGGCTGTTATTTCTTGATTCGGAGGATTATAGAGCCCTGCCTTGAGCTTTTTTTATACTGTATACCTTTCATAGCTGCCCCTTACAGAATCTACTATTGGAAGCTTTGAGCTACCTTGTGGGTTTGTTTGACTCCCCAACTCCCCCATTTCTTTCTCTCCTTTCTTTCCTTTTTTTATTCTTCTCCTTTCTCTCTCTTGCTCGTATTTCTCTTTTCCTATTTCTGTTTATTCGGCCTACATCCTCTAGTCTCCATTTCCTTTTTGTGCTATGAAACAGGGTCTTCTTGTCGGGACTTCACTGCCGGCTCTGTTATATTTTGTTAACTATCGAGCTTAACAGGTTACTCCTTGAAATGGGTGTATACCCATTACCACCCTCTGCCAATCCCTGCACTGGCTTCCACTCGCCCAGAGGATAAAATTCAAAATATTAACAGTCACTTATAAAGCCATCCACAACTCTGCCCCCGGATATATCTCAGACCTTGTCTCAAAATATCACCCTAACCGTCCACTCCGCTCTTCCCTAGACCTCCTACTTTCCAGCTCTCTAGTCAACTCCTCCCATACTCGCCTCCGGGACTTCTCTAGAGTCTCTCCCATCCTCTGGAACTCTTTACCCCCAACCTGTCCGTCTATCTCCCACCCTGACTGTCTTTAGGCGTTCCCTGAAGACTCTTCTCTTCAGGGAAGCCTATCCCACCTCAACCTAACCACTGAACCATTACATTCTCAAACAATTCATCCCCACACAGTTACCTTTTCATGTATAATTTCCCCCTCCTCTTTCAGATTGTAAGCCCTCAGGGGCAGGGCCCTCCTTACCATCCTGTCTTGAATTGTATTGTAATTGTAATGTCTTCCTTACATTGTAAAGCGCTGCACAAACTGTTGGCGCTATATAAATACTATGTAATAATAATAATAATAATAATACTACATTGAGCATTGCTAGAACTCCTCATAATGCTTGATAATGTTGATAGTGTTCTGGTATACAGCTGACAGATCGCTCGATGGAAGTTATTGGAATACATGTTATCGACAGGAAGGACACGGAATTGTTGGATTGTTGTTTTACATGTTTGTTTGTGTTACTTTACTGCTTATGTGTAAACTTTTTAAAACAAATAAAATTTGAAGTAAAAAAAAAACATTATCGAGAATCTATTGCTTGACTTTCTAGTAGCCGCAGTAGTGACTAGAAATTCCAGTGCGTATAGGTCACCATAGATTTCCTTAAAATTTAAAAAATACATAGAAGATTATACTTTGCAGCAACTACACAAAATTCAAGGTTCATGCAAGGGTGTTATACATAGCAACCAAATCAGTCAGATATCATTTTTCAAGCCAAAACTAGAAAATAAAACAAAGGATAGCATGTGATAGAAAAGGCATCCATTTTTATTTTGTCCTCAAGAAATGTGTACTAAATAAAACAAGCTTACCGTGTCAGACTCATTTCAGTTAACACTAATAATAAAAGGCAATATTAGCACAGGCCAAGATTAACAAGGGGAAATACACTACCAGTAAGAAGTCTAACTGCAGAAGACAAAACCCACACACACCCATACTCATGGATTTTACCTCCTTAACTGGAATGATAGACACTACTTCCTGAAAGTGCCACAGACTGTGCATTTGTGCAAAACCAAAGAAAACAGCTTTGCTGGTCATCTGCCCACATTACTGGTGAAGTCTGACGAACAGGAATGTATGCTATTTAAATACGGGAAAAACAAAGCATGCTCCAGATCTGTTATGCCAACAATCTGTATAGCTCAACCAAGCCCATTACTATGACAGTGAAATTTAACTCCTTAACGACACTGCTCAAAATAAAAAAGGACAAAAGGATTAGCTCCACCCTAACTGTTGCATATGTCAAAAAGTCTTAATTACTTATCACAGTAGTTTAAAAAAGTTTGATCCTCTTCTAAAACATTAGGCACAGCCATACACAATTGCATAAAAATAACAGATTCTGCAGACGTGCTAGTTTATGACCCAAAAACCTAAGTTCTCCAAAAATCAAGCAAAAATATTTATAAAATTCTCTAAAGAATCACACATCTATGTCGAGCTTAAAGCGTGCAGTGTAATGTGCTGTTTTTCTTTTGTTTGTTTGTTCTGCTCAGCACTGTGGCACATTGGCTGCTTATTAGGCAGAAATTTGGCTGCCATGTCTTCGTCTACAGTCAAGAGATCAGAGAAAGTACCTTGGTGTATCTTCCCTTTCACAGATGTCTGATCAAAGATATTGGATGATGGTAAAGTGTGTAGGTAAGACTCAACCACCAAAAGATTCGAGAGGAAGCCGATATCCCCAACATGTGGAAGATTCAGAGGAAATTAAACCATTGGTTTAATGGCTAGTTCTTTGAAAATGCTCAACTGATGGTACCAGTGGTCTGCTGCCACCTATGGACATGGAGGATTAGTTCATATTTGTGAGAACCTAAAGTCATTAAAAGGACACAGACAAGCTGGAATGATTCGACCAACTGGATTTTGGCTGCTGTGCCATGAGCCAAGAGACGTTATTCTACTCAAATGCAAAAAATACTATTCTAAAGAGATCTCATCTATGCCTGGGACAGCTGAGTGATAAATATCCTGGATATCACATTACCTTTCTCCCAAGTAATCACCAATGACAGTTTTATTCAAGCCTTCTCCTTTGTAAAGGAACTGAGCTATGTCTTCTGGTGTGTTCTGTAATAAGTCATTTTCTAAAAGGAACAAAATACCCTGCAAAAGAAAAACCGCATTAAAGAAATAGCAGTACATTTCTGTCATCTTTTCTTGAACAATGAGAATCTTTTTACTAATCTTTTTGTGCCAACCATAACAAGATAGAGGCTTATGTTCATACAACGCACCTATACAATGTACAGTACACTGACAGTTACCAGGATTACAAGAGGCACAGTGTATATAGCAAAAGCACTCAACAATTAAATGGTTTATCTGGTGGTTTTTTTAAAAGTCTTGATGACAATACAGCACTTGCATTGCTAAGCCTACTGCCTCATGTGAGCGTTATGAGGGGTCCCTCTAGAGTTGTTTGTTTATGTGATGGAGAATGCAATTGGAGAAGTGGGAACAATCCAAGGTGGGCAGAATAGAGACAGAAATTGCCAAAGAAAGTTTGCCATCGATGTCTCACAAATCTAGAAGAAGCCAGCAGATGACCAAGTCCATTTCTATTATAGTGTGAATGGGCCCTTAGGACTTGTTTTAAAGCTTATTTACTGCTTGCCAAGAATATGTAAATATTTCATTGTCTATAGTCTGGCCACAGTAATACTGTTGACTAGTTTTCCACTTCAAAGTGAAGCATTGCTACATACACAGAATTTCGGCACTAACTCACTCCTATGCAGGTCAGCAACCAGGCCTTGTCTCTCAAACCATTTGCTTCAGACTATCCAGCTGGCTCCACTTAACATACAATAATATATGTAAACTGAAAGCACAATATGGTTTGTAAAATTAAATGTTATATTTTAACCAGTTGACATCCGCGGTGTTAAACCCCCTTCCCATCCAGGCCATTTTTCAGTATTCAGCGCTGCAGTACTTTAACTGACATTTATTCCGTCATGCAGCGCTGTACTGAAATGAATTTTATACCCTTTTTTGGGGACAGATAGAGCTTTCTTTTGGTGGTATTTATTCACCACTGGGGGTTTTATTTTTTTACTATATTAAGGAAAAATTACCGAAATTTAAAAAAAAAAACAGTTTCCCCTATATTAAATGATAAAACATTTATTATTACCCAATTTTTTGGTAAAATATAAAAGATGGGGTCACGTCGGGTAAAAAGACACTAAACATGTCAAGCCTTAAAATTGCGTGCGCGCGCGAAACCTCAAAAAACGATAATACCCAAAATTGGCCCTAGGCGACGCTTTAAAAGCTGTTACCGCTCATCAGTTTAGTGTTATCAGTGATTGATGGCCCTAAAATGATTGCTCTCACTGCGACGTTCGCGGCGATATGTAACATGTGTAGCGCAATTGTAATTTTTGCGCGCTGGGGCACCGGACGCGTATTTACGTTTATAGGCGCGTAAACGTGGGGGTGGGGGAGTTAAACATTTTGGGGGGGTTTTTTCCCCTTTTTTTATATGTGGCTTGGATTTTATTTTATTTTTTTATGTGTTACTTTTCTTTTTTTTTATTTATATTTTTTTTTTGCACTTATTGTTATTGCTATTATATAGGGGGATAACAACCCCCTATATAATAGCAAAGGCACACTGACAGGTCCTCTTTATGGAGATATTAGGGGTCTCTAGGACCCCTAATATCACCTATGGACCCCAAAAGAAGCTGATGAAGCAGAGATCTGCTTTATCAGCTTCTTCTCTCTGGCTATAGCAGCCAGATGACTGACAGGTGAATGCGGAAGTGATGTAACAGACGGTGCCGCGAACGAGCACATATAGGCGATCGGCGGGCTATGGACCCGCCAATCGCCTATATGTGAAACACCCGGTAACGGGTGTGTGCATTTAGCGGGTCTTTTCTGCCCGTGCGTGCACGCTAGGGGGCGCGCACGAGCAGAAAAAAATTGCCGTCTGGAGACGGCAACCCGCAGATGCTGCAGTGCCGTCCGTCCGTTTTTTTACTACGGGCGGACGGCAAGAGGTGAAAGAGTTTTAGTTGAGATAATATGAGGGCACTATTAAAATTGTGAAACTAATGTTGACAGATACCTTCCAGAAAACAACCGCAAGGAACAATCTTGCCCATCCTCACGTGTGTGGGCTGAGCCATTGGACCAGGCAAAATACTAACTCAATGCCAAAATCGGTGCACATGTCATATCTCTGATACTTTCCTCTAGGGATGGACAGATACCAATAGTAGGGATGGACAGATACTGATACTAGTACTCATACTCGCCCAAATGCTCCGATATCTTTCCCGATACCTGAACTTCCGGTCAAAGGAAAATTTCCTCTCACTGGCAGTGTCATAGGGGAATATTGAGCCAGCTTCCTGTGCGATCAGGAAGCTGGGCGGAAAGTAATGACCCGCCTCTCAACTTTCTAATTGACCAGGAAGCCGGCTCCATGCTGATTGGCCAGTAAGCATTGAGCTGGCCGAACAGCCCGCTCCATGCTGATTAGCTGGGAAGCCAGCTTTCCAGCCAATCAGCATGGAGCCGGCTTCTCGTCCAATCAGGAGACCGGGCGGCAGGCCATTACGCGCCGCCCGGCTTCCTGATTGGCCGGGAAGCCGGGTTTCCCAGCCAAACAACATGGACTCGGCTTCCCGGGAAATCAGGAAGCCGGACGGCATGTCATTAAATCGCCACTCCTGATTGCCTGGGAAGCCGCCTCCATGAAAGTGGAAGCACCGGTATTTGTACTCGGTATCAGCGAGTAACGAAAGCAAAATATCGGTACTCGTACTCAATACCGAAAAACTGGCATTGGTGCATCCCTACATTTCTCCTAGCGCAATGTAGTGGGCCCCAGTACCAGATGATTTCTTCAAAAGCTAGAAGGTTTCTCTGTACAAGGAAAAGCACCTCCGACAGTCAGATATGCATGTTACAGCTCTCTAGGTGAACAGACGTAACCGAATTATGCAAGTGATGCTTGAAACCAACAGCATTTTTTGTTTATACCTAGTTGTTTAGGTTTACTCTAAGAATCTCATTTTAAAACATTAGTGAGATCAGTGACGCAGGCAATATAATTCGAAACACAAGCATTTTGGTAATACAAGATAGGAATGAACGCTGTATTTACAATGCCTCTGAAAAGAAATGCTTTTAAGCTCTAACTCCTATAAATGTGTGTTAATTATATATATGCATCTAGAATGTTCAGCTTGTTATATACTCATTTTTTATTTTTTTAAATATGCATCCTTAATAATCAATAAAAAGGCTGAGTAGGTGAAAGAGGTAAGGCCTCTAATTTTAGCTTTATTTGTGGATCTAGAGATCATGTTTCATTAAAGATAACTCAAAATTATATTTACCCTGAATAATGGTAATATATGAGGGTAAAATACCATTTAATCTACTGATTTATTGCAAAAGTAACTATGGCAATAAACACAGATGTTGTTCAAGCCATTTGATTTAGTCATATACCATCTATGTGTGTTTATTCTTACACATCACCTAAGCCTGCCTATAGCTGCAATTTCAAACCATCATCTCTGATAGAACAGGACTGGACAGGCAAAATTCATGAGCTAGACTTTCATCTGTCTGGTACCATCATCTACTTACTGGCTGCTCGCAGAATAAACAGTCTTTTGTGTGCCTGTCTGTGCAGACAGGACTGTGATGGCAGACAGATTTAACCATTTGGGCACCAGAGAATAACAACATAATAAACTTAAAACAGATTGAGCTTACACAACAAGCCAAACTTTAGGTGGTTGTATCCAACTAATGCCTTATTGCAACACTGTTAATTACCGTCTCGGATACTCTATTTTTTTGCACTAAAAGTTACATTTTCAGGTCAATTCTTCAGGGATTACTGAGAATGTTTGCAGATTCCTTCTTAGGTCTTGTTCACACCAAGCGCGTTCCAGGAGTAGAGCAGTTACAGACCGGATCAAACTGCGTGCAATGTATTCCAATGGTATTTTGGGCTCTAGTTCACCCCGCAGCATTCAGTTCCAGAGCATGTAAAAAAACTGCAGCAAGCCATATTTTACCTGCTCTGGAACGCATGCAAACACATCAAAAATGCATGCAAACGCCCTGGAACGCACACTAAAAAGCCAATTTTTTTTCTCAAAAACGGTCCAGAACGCATAAATGTGGCAGAAACCGTGGCACAACCCACTGCACTGCATGTGCAGAAACTCATGCAGATCTGGTCTGCATTTGGTGTGAACAAGCCCTTAACATTTTGCTAAACCTTCTGTGTATCAGTACTGCTTGGACCTTAGAAAAAGGGGGTGAGCCCCAAAAGCATGTTCTGAAAATGTAACTGTTAGCGCAAAATAAATAAAAAAAGAAGGATCACGGACACTTTTTAACTGTGTTGCAACTACAAGCCATACAAAGATTCACTGAACATATGTGTGTGAATGTGCACAGATAATCAAATCCTTGCCAGAGTAATGTGAACCTACATATACATACATGTTATTGACAGTTTTGTGCAGGTTTGGCCGATTTTGGGTGCACCAGGTTCAGACCAAGCCCGCGCACATCACCAGTTGTCACCGGGTAAAGTAGAGGATGTGGGGGCACACAAAGGAGATTCCTTTATTCTGTACAGAGCATGTGTTTCATATTTAGTGATTCAAATACCTCCAGCCTTATTTTGGGGGGGGGGGGGGGGGGGGAGAAGG